GTATGAAATTTATGATTCAATGCAAGAAAATAAACTAATAAAACTGGTAAAAGATGATAATGCAGTGTTTCCCCTTGGCCAGCCCCCAAACACACCCACCCTGAGCTGTTGTCTTTGAGTAACTGTGTTGTTGTAGTGTGTCATTAGAAAAATCAAGAATAATTTTTAAAGTGAGAGAGCACAGCTTGCTCACAATATCACAGTAAACTACTATGGTTTCAATCAGTTATTTACAATGAACTTGCACTGTCCGACCAAATCCCCAAACCTTCTGTTTGCTTTGTTTTAACTCTTCCTTTCAGCAAAACGATGTCCCTATCCCGAACCCATCTCCAATGGAGAATTACTCTACGAGGATACCATTTACCAGAGCACCATCAACTATACCTGCAATGAAGGGTACGGAAAAGATTTTGAAACATAATGTTGTAGCAAAGCTCTAAGAAAACATCATGTTTAAAACAATGTCAGCTGATCATGGTTTAAAACATGCCCTTGGATGTGAGTGAATGTGTTTTTTGAATAGTCCTTTTAAATTTTATTTATTTATTTTTTATTTAAAGCAAACATTTCACTAAACAATATGTTTGTGAGCAGATATATATTGACTGGACCCATGTCTGCAGTTTGCCAAGCCAATGGAACATGGAGCACTCCTCCACCAATATGCATACGTAAGCCAAACCCACCAATTCTGTCATATTTATTATGTTTAAAGAAAACATGCTGGGAATGGCTCTCAGCTGTTACCACATCAAATTTCAAATTAATATCTGTGAAACTGGCAGAGCTGTATCAATATTTGTGTTGGCTAATAGCTGTGGTGGCCATCTTGAATTGGACTAACTCCAAATGTTAATCAGTTGTAAATATAAAGCCAAAAATTAACTTCTGAAAGTTTTATAAAAGTCTGTCTTGTGGTTAATGATATATTTTGCTAACAGACAAACAGGGTTGATGCCTGCAATTAATTTTAAAATTATAAGCAAAATTCTGGCAGAGTTAGTAGCACTTGAAAATGGTGTAGTGAATTAAACTTAAGCTGTAAAGACAAAAATCTAAAATTGACTGAATTTGAGACAATACATTTTTCAAAACATACATACAGTCATTATTTTTATGCCGTACTGTATTCCTTTTGCTTTACTTAACAGCTTACTTTTAAAACTGTAATTAAAATTAATTTAAAATTATTCATATTTTAAAACTGAAGCTATGCCTTTCATTTTGTTTTGTTTGTATTGTTTTATTGTGTGAAATGTTTTGTTTGTTGTTAATGAAATGAATAAATGAATTAAAGATCATACACAGACTTTAAATTGTGAAGATAAAAGAAAAGAAGATGGAAACACTTGTAAATCTCCTAAAGTGAGTGCTGTGATGTTATGTCTTTCCTGTTAGCCGTGTCCTGTGGTCTCGCTCCAATCCCTGAGTTTGGAATGGTGATTTATGAGAGGAGGGTCCGAGGAAATACCACTGATTATGGCCTCACAGCGAAGTACACGTGCCTGCCTCCCTTCGCACTTTTTGGAAAGCCAACCGCCCAGTGCACTGCTGAGGGCACCTGGACTGAGACGCCTGAATGTCGAGGTAAAAAAAGAAGTTAAATTCAGTTCAGTTCAAAGTAAATGAATTAAACAAAATGAATTCTCAAAGCTTAGTTCAAATAAAGGGTCTGCAACTTTTACAATCAAATGAGACATTTCTGCTCCTCGGCTCATTAATAAAATGTATCCGGAGCTGCAAAATGTGCTACAACTGTGATTATCAACTGGTGGTCCATGGGCCACTTTTGTTTTATTTTTTATGTTTTTGGCTAGGCAGTGTATATAGCAAATTTTAACATGTTTTATTACTTTTACACTTCAGGAAAAAAAGAAAAGGCCATATCCATGTAAATAAGGAAAATACTGTATGTAGTTTATACCAAATTTAATTAAAACTACAACTGATTTATGCAGGAAAATCTTTGTTTTTTAATTATTCTTACTGTTATCTAGTCTTAGTTTAACCTGATGGATTTGAGAGAAAGATGATACTTTAAGGCTGGATTACTAAAGCGGCCAAAAGGCTACTACTTAAACCTGTATTTGCAAACAATTTGAAAGGAAAACTGCTACTTGAAAAATTCAATCTCCTTAACTTTGGTCAAAGGTTCAAAGAGCCGCTGCAGAGGGACTAAAGAGCCACATGTGGCCCCTGGGCCACAGGTTGCACACCCCTGGTTTAAATGAATGTAATCAAGTTGTTACAGCGTAATTCAATGTTGTCAACGTTCTTTAAATGGCACCATTTCACAGCAAACTTTTAGCTGTTGCAGAAAGTCAACGTTTAAGCCAAAGCAGATAATCTGATAATAAGTTTGAACTTTGTTGTTCCTAAAAGACAATTTCATAAAATATTGAGTAGCAAACAAAAAAGCTAAACTCTCTCACAAACGCTTTTTTTCTTGTTAATAATCTCTCATAAGCTTCCCCGTGTAGCTCTGCGACAGGATAATCCTAATTTTGGCAACAAAGTGGAACAGTTGGCTTTAGGAGGTGAAAAGAAACCCTCGAAGGAGCCATTGTTTAAAGATGTAATAATTTCTGATTAAATCATAAACACACCTTTAGCTTCCTGCACTGTGAGAAAAAAAGAGGGTAAAATATACAAAGAAAGTCTGACAGAAATGAGCTGAACTGTTCCTCTGCAGAGGTGACATGCCCTCCTCCAGACAACATTGAAAGAGGCTACATGTCCAACAATGAGAGGAGAGACTTTGACTACATGGAAAGAGTCAAATACGACTGCAGAGGTAACTACGTGCTCGAGGGGAACGTGGAGGTCGTTTGCCAGGAGAACGGGAGGTGGTCTGACCTGCCGTCCTGCAAAGGTGTGTGTGTGTGTGGATGTGTGTGCCCTTGTTTTTGCTACTTGGTGGGGATGATTTTTCAGGAAAATGCAATGTCGTGAGGACCAAAGCCTTGTCCCCACGACTTCGGAGGTTGAGTTTAGGTGAGTTTTTGGGTCAGGTAAGGTACCTGTGAGGTTAATTTTAGGGTAAATGTTCAGGGTTAGGATATAAGATTTCCAAACAATGAATGGAAGTCAATGTAAAGTCAAGGATACAGAGACATAGTGGGTGTGTGTGGGTGGGTGGGGCTCAATTTTACAACTTTTGACCGTCAAACAAGATAAAGAAGAAACAATTTGCTTTACCAAATTGTGTCTTTTTTTCTGAGCGCAGTCCAAATTTCTTCCTACCTTTTTGTTCTTGAGCTTATTTTTGTTTAAGGTTAATTTTCAAAGCTTTTACTTTTTGCTCGTCTTGTCGACTGTATTCATTTCTTGTGCAACATCATCTACAGTATAATTTGTACGGAGCAATGTTCAAACACACACAGCTCATTTTTCTCAAATTTTGTGCTTTTACATCCTGTTTTTGTTGTTTCACTCGTAGCGCCTTGTACTGTTGGCATACAGAGAGGAAGGATTTTATATAAAGAACAGAAAATTTGGATCGGAGACTTTGAACCTAATGTCGTCTTACACAAAGAAACTGTCTCAGTGTACTGCATGGACAAAGACAGGAAATGTGGTTACGCTCTGTCAACACAGTGCATCGATGGAACCCTGAAAATCCCAGAATGCTTTGAGGGTAACGCACTATTATTCCAGTTTTGTTTTGTTGCTCCTCTGAACTCACAGACTAAGCCTGAAACTGTAATGGATAAAAATAATAATAATTTACCCCCGTTCAGATATTTTAATTCTGCATTAGAGAAACTATTAAATCTATTCACTTGTTGTGTTTTTACAGAACCCAGTTTGGCTGACTACACTCTTCATCCCAGTTCACTTCCATCAGAGATTGAGCAGTGCTGAAGCAGTCGCAGATTCTTCATCTGATGAAACCACAGCAAAATGACATCAATGTCTTTTATTTATAAGAAAAATCGGATTTTGTTTTAAAATGAAACAACATAAGTGTAGCAACCAATTAGCAACCATTATGTTCAGTTGATTCACTGAAGAAATAAACTTTGAACGCACTGGTAGCAGCTACAAATATACTTTTTTGTGCAGGTGTTTGTTTGCTTGTTTGTTTGTTTTCTTCAAAAATGGCAGCATGACAGATTAATTATACTGTTACCTCATACTAAGAAGTTCCTGGATTCAATCCCCAGTTCAGACCATGCTGGAAAAAGCTCAGTAAAAATAAAAGAAATTGAATCTTCAAAAGATAATTAATTCTCAAAACAAGTTTAATTTTTTTTTTTTGGCGATAAGACTTGGTT